AAAACAATATCATTTTTACCCATTTTTGACGAAGTATTTCGATAGAAAATAATTTCGCTGCAATTTTTTTTTCACAATGAAGCCATTACTCACATGTCAGCAAATGTTGACTTGTTTTTGTGCGTATCCTGTTGATCCAATGGCAAGCAGATGGAGAAAATATTCCTATATAATTATAATCGTAAAATTATTCGTTTTTATGGCAAATTTGAGTTCTATTGCCTCGAGTGTGGCTTTTGTTTTGAAATTTATGCACATCGACTTCAAGGAATCTCTGTATGCCGTTTTTCAACTTGCTGGATCGAGCTCTACAACATCTGCCATGATAATTGGATTCTTTTTACGATCTACAATTGCAACGGTTATTGAGAGTTTGGCCAAAATCTATGACAAAAGTGAGAGAGAACTAAAAATGTCACTGGACTATTTGTGTCGATAGGCACATCATTGAAATAAAGCATTTGGAATGATTATTCATTCTGTTTCAGGTTCGAAAAATACCGTGCATCAATGTTTGGCACACGCTAATGCCAAATGTGAATGGCTATGGGAAATATACTTCAAAATTATATGGTTTGCCTTTGTTGGCAATTTATCGATGGTAATACTGTCTATTTGGAAGTGGTTCATTTTTTCACAGAGTCAGTTCGATGTGAAATATTTATATCACCCCTATCGTGTTATGTGAGTGAAAGTCACCTTTATCGTCCATTGAACCCCTTTAAAAGGAATCAATTTCTATCAAATTCTCATCATTTTAAACTTGAAATTTATTCCAGTTTGCTCTGGAATCAATCAACCCCGGTCGGATACTTTGGCGAACTTTGCTTTAGCTTCATCATTGGCGGAGCTTATATGTTTTCCAATGCATTGTTTCTTTTGTTATTTATTTCGATGTGTTTGCATCATCAAGCGTTTCTTGAAATATTACAGCACTTAACGCTTGATTTGGATCAGTGTGATGGCAAAAAAAATGCCAAAGAATTACTCTATGACATGATTCACTTTCACTTAACGGCCAAAAGGTGAAGATTGAAGTGGACTCGGGGGCTCTGATTTGACCTCAACCATCCACATTATGATCAAATTGTGTCTTCTTTTTCCTCTTTCAGTTGGTTTTTCGAATCAACAAAACTCTTTGACCTATACATTGTGGCTCAGTTACTATGCAGTCTCATTTTATTAGCGTGTACCATTTTTCAGTTGGATCGGGTATCGATTGGTTTTACTTTTGCAATAGCTTGCATTTATTCTGATTAGAGCTCATTTCGATACAAATTAAAACCTTTGAATCTTCCGTCATTCCAGCAAATCGAACACATTGACTTAAGTGTCATCATGCTGTTAATGGCAACCGCATGTGGTGTATTGAATTTTTTTCTCTGTTGCTTCTATGGAAAGTTGACAACCGAAAGTTATGCAAAAATGGCGAACACTTTGTTCGAGTCTAATTGGCCTGATTTGCCGAATGATTTGCAAAAATTCATTCTTCTAATGATCGGAAACGCACAGCGTCCACTTTGTTATCATGCGTTTAAAATGATCGTTTTGGAATTGGAAACATTTTGCAAGGTGTGAAAAAAAGGAGTAGATTTTATTGTAAAATGGTTCAAAATCTTAAACTCATTGAAAATAATACTTGTATCTTCATTTCAGTTCTTGAAAACGGCTTTCACTTATTACATGCTGTTTAAAACCATTGCATCAAAATGAAATCTCACAGAAGCTAGGTCTGCTTCTATTGGTATACACAGAACACACACATTAATTTTATCAATGTTAGCAATGATATAAAATAACACTACACAAAAGCTTGAATAAAAATTAACCGTTTATTTACGTCCATACCTTCTTTACACCGCGAAAATGACATTGGAAATTCCTCAAGTTACAACATTCGATAAGAAATTATCCGAATTTGATGGAAAAACTCGAATCGATCCACAATTATTTTTTGTCACCGATTTTCAAAATATTTTCAAAATATGTTATTTAAATGGAAAAAATAAGATCTGCATACTCAGTTTATTTCAATTGTCCATTAGTTTTTTCGAAATTCGCCCTGGATTTTGTGATTTTCAGTGCAAAATCGACGAAAAATGTCGAGAAAAACTCTCTTTTTTTAACAAATTAAAAGTTTGAAGTGCTGTAACTTGAAAATATTTCTATCAACTTTAGACCCAACAGTATCATTGGATAGAAACATCCTTTAGCCTTTAGGAATCATAAACATGCTATAGCATATAATGATATTATCACTCGTTCGATTTTTATTACCAAGGTTCGTTACGTGTCACAAAGCGTTACATATATGTAATACGGGGTAGATTCAAGTTAATTGCATATTTTCAAATGGAAAGTTCCATGCAAAATGGAAAAATGGAAAAATGCAGAACGTTCAAAGAACATCTGTCGAATTTTTTTTCAATACATCGACCATTCCACACGAAATGGACCAAGAATTGGATCGACCCTCTCCGAATTGGCTGAAAATTTGCATGGAGTCTTGATTTCGGTAGAAAATGAGAAAACCAAAATCTTAGGCCTGTAAGTGGCCCACATTCCTGAGTTCACCCAGTGTAAATTTTTCGAAAAATTAAAAAAATCGAAAAAAAGGGTTCGCGCCAACTGAAAACTAACTAAGAAGTAGTTGACACATTGCCAAACCACTGGTATCGTTGGAAAGATAATTGATGGGGCTACAAAAATTGCGAAGTCACCTACCCACTTTGACCCCATTGGGGCCTCCAAAAATGGGTCCAAAGTATAAAAAGTGAAATATCTCAAAAGGGTGGTCGATTTTTGGTATGTTTTTTTTTGCATTTTTTCTGCGCTTATGTCGCGCCGCTTCAGATGGAAAAATAAAATTTCGTGTATAGGTCATTCAATTTTTTGTATTTGGCCTCGGAAAGTAGATCATATCTAATTTTTCAGCGTTTTTGTGGAAAAAATGGTCGAAAATGGCCTGTGACGATGTTTTTGACTGAGAAAACTGCTATTTTTTCGTCTAAATACATAAAGAAATGACCATTTGAATATCGGTTTACCTATGAATTTGGTCTGAAATCGACATTTCTCCATTAAACAAGCGCATGGTCAAAATCCGCATACAATATCACACTTATGGCATAGAAAACTCACCTATGGTGGCCTGGTATGAGTCTATTTCCATGTAATTTTGGACGAGGAATCGATTTAGACTTACCTCAATCCCGTTTGATGAGCCTAAAATGCCGAAAAATGGCCCTGTTCCAGCTTATGTTTTCAACTCGCCATATTTTATACAGAAAATCACTTTTTCTACTTCAAAAATGCCTTATTCTGCGTTCCAACATCAATGGCTTTTATTTTTTGAAGAAATAAACCAAAATTTACCAACTTTTCGAATATTTTGGTCTCAATTTAGCGTTTTGTATAGATATTGGTCCAAAAAACGGTCATTTTGTAGGGGAGGTACCTAAAATATGCATAATTTGATACTTTTGTGTTGAAAAACTGCTATTATTTTTGTAAAATAATGGGGGTCTGTGAACAATAATATATCCATTTGCTTATACTTTGGTCTCAAATCGACTTTTTCATTGGAAAATTCACTCAAAATGAAGATTTTACACATAAAACTCTGAATTGAGTAGAAAAGTTGGTATATTTTGGTTTATTTCTTCGAAAAATAAAATCCATTGATGTTGGAACGCAGAATATGGCATTTTTGAAGTAGAAAAAGTGATTTTCTGTATAAAATATGGCGAGTTGAAAACATAAGCTGGAACAGGGCCATTTTTCGGCATTTTAGGCTCATCAAACGGGATTGAGGTAAGTCTAAATCGATTCCTCGTCCAAAATTACATGGAAATAGACTCATACCAGGCCACCATAGGTGAGTTTTCTATGCCATAAGTGTGATATTGTATGCGGATTTTGACCATTCGCTTGTTTAATGGAGAAATGTCGATTTCAAACCAAATTCATAGGTAAACCGATATTCAAATGGTCATTTCTTTATGTATTTAGACGAAAAAATAGCAGTTTTCTCAGTCAAAAACATCGTCACAGGCCATTTTCGACCATTTTTTCCACAAAAACGCTGAAAAATTAGATATGATCTACTTTCCGAGGCCAAATACAAAAAATTGAATGACCTATACACGAAATTTTATTTTTCCATCTGAAGCGGCGCGACATAAGCGCAGAAAAAATGCAAAAAAAACATACCAAAAATCGACCACCCTTTTGAGATATTTCACTTTTTATACTTTGGACCCATTTTTTGAGGCCCCAATGGGGTCAAAGTGGGTAGGTGACTTCGCAATTTTTGTAGCCCCATCAATTACCTTTCCAACGGTACCAATGGTTTGGCAATGTGTCAACTACTTCTTAGTTAGTTTTCAGTTGGCGCGAACCCTTTTTTTCGATTTTTTCAATTTTTCGAAAAATTTACACTGGGTGAACTCAAAAATGTAGGCCACATACAGGCCTAAGATTTTGGTTTTCTCATTTTCTACCGAAATCAAGACTCCATGCAAATTTTCAGCCAATTCGGAGAGGGTCGATCCAATTCTTGGTCCATTTCGTGTGGAATGGTCGACATCCATTCAAAGCAAATTCAATCCCAATACTTCTTTTAAAAACAAATAAAAACCTAGACAGCTACCTAGAATTTAATTATATTGTTGAACGAAGACAGAGTACGCATTAAGAATTGAGTATTTGTTTGGTAAATTTGGTTTTCAATTTAATTTCAAGTTTCATCCGCAATCCGCAAATGTGCAAATACTTTAAATTTTGACATTAAGTCGGTAAACAATGAAGAAGCTATATGCGCATCATGATATAGTGAAGAAAACGGTAGACAGTAATAATAATGAGAACGTGATTTACAGCAAACACTTTGGTGACCGCTGACCGGTTGTCGTCATCGATTTAAAGTTCTGGCGATCAGGTTTTTTTGTTGGTTTTTAAATATTTACGAAGTCGAAAACAAAATAAAAACCTCTTGCAATCAAATGATTTATGTCAGTCGATGAGTGGAATTGGCTAAGAAGTGATATATAGAATGTTGTGTCTGGTGTTGATAGTTTTTTGTTGTTTAGCTCAAGTGGTTGAGCTAAGACGGTATATTGAAGTTAAAAACCAGAATAGTTTCCCTATTTGGATTGAAACATTAACAAACAACAATGGAGCACCGTTATCCAATGAAATAAAGCGCATAAATCCGGGCGGTGGAATCAAATACGAAATTAGGTATAAAAATTTGCATTCATCGAATATTCGAACGGAAATTATTATCAATTAACCGCTGATTTATTTGAGTTTTGGTAATTTCAAATGTCTAAAAGATTGGAATCATAATTTAGTGTGTAATTTGGGGAAATTCCATTGAATTTTTAGTGATCACGGTTGGGCTGGTAGAGTTTGGCCAAAAATCGGTTGCAATCGAAACGGTGCAAATTGTGAATTTGGACAATCGATCGCACCATGCCCATCTGGAGGCTGCCATCCACCAGCCGATACAAAAGTCGAATTTTTCTTCCCACGAATCAACAGCAACCAAAATTCTTTCTACGATATCAGCTTGGTTAGTGGCAATGTTTGATGTTTTAATCTAAATTTATCTATGATTAAAATATGTTTACGATGTTTGCTCTATTCACAAGCTGACCTTGAATTAATTTATTTATCTTTTTTTTTTTTAATTTAATTTCACTTTCGTTAGGTCGATGGGTTCTCATTAGCAAGTGAAATTATTCCAATCCGAAATGTACGTATTTTGATGTTGAGTTCATTTTCTTTCGAAATCAATTAGATTAGTAACAAATTGAGCATATCAGCACACAAAAAACAAACTGGGCACTTTTTATTTATACAGTTATTTAACCCATTTTCGAGTAATTCGTGAATACGCTGAAATGGGCTAGAAATTGATCGTCTGCCCATAAATATTTTTGTATTCTTATGAAATTGTTTGATTTAATTATTTCGAATAAAAAAAATAGACATAAATTTGAAGTATGCACATTCAAATTGAATGATTCAATTTCCAGGGTAATCATTTCCAACAAGGTACGTGCGTTCGAACTGATTGCCGATTAACACCGAACCAGTGTCCCGGGAATGAGAAGTTTGGTTTGGGCAATTTGTCGGTGCAAAAAAATAATCGACCAGTTGGGTGTTTGTCGCCGTGCAAAAAATGGAACTATCCGGCACCATATGGGCAAGGGCGCAATGAACAGCAAGGCGATGGCAGAAAACTGTGCTGTCCAAGTCCAGTTTCTGTGGAGGAATGTCGAAGAGGCATTGTTGCGCAAACCGAATACGTGAATCTTGTACGACGCGCATGCCCAACCGCATACAGTTTTGCTTATGATGACGATGGTGGTTCACATGATTGTCCATCCGATACCAGTTTCCATGTGACATTCCGTTAATAATGCGTAAAATACTATGAAAACAGAACAAAATATATAGTTAAAATACTTAAAACAAAACAAAAAATACTTCGAACTCATCTTTGAATTGAAAAAAAAATACTTATAACCTATCTTTGTTTGCTTTTTACATTCTTTGCGAATTCGTGTTGCTCATTCTCAAATGAAATTATAGTTTCGTTTTAATTCAAGTTATTCTTTCCATAGTATGGAATCCATACACTATAAATTCATTTGATTTTTTTTGTATAAGAATTTTTTGTTCTAACGATTTGAAGCGAAAAAAACAGCGATGACATTGAATTGTGAAATAAATAGCAATAACTATAATTTCTAAATGATAAAATATTATCATTAAAACGAAAATTCTTTGAATTTCAGGCTTATTCGCTATGGTGTCTGCTTTATAATTTGGTTTATAAACCAGTTATTCAATTTAAATGTATAACAAATTAACAGAAATAAATGTGTGTTTTGGAACCAAAACAACGCCGTTCAAACCATGGAATCGTTCTACAGAAACGTTGATATTATCAAGCTGACGACACTTCAGTACAAACATCATTTGAGCGCTCGCAGCGCCACGAACTCTCGTATCATTTTGTATTGACTTTTCGATAGTTCATGAGTTCGCCGTAGACTTCGTCAAAACGTGTCGTCCCTTTGGATATTATCTCAAACGTTGCGTTCGAGTGTTGAATTTGATTGACAGATTAGCAATAATTAGCAATAAATGACTGAGTGTATGGATCAGTGACATTTTGCCCTAGCTACTTGAGATGCAGACACCGTTACAAGTACAGCGGTAAACATTAAATTTTATGGTTTCCAGAAAGCGTTATAGGTGGCTTTGAATAGCATCGTTTATGATATATTCGTGTCTGAATAGCCGAAACAGATTAACTCGTTTCACCGTGTCAGAGAATTTCGACTGTCTTTTGCCATGAATCACCAACACGCTCTATGCAAAGTGCAAAAACAAAAACTTAACGACTCTTAATTGCGTTCTGATAACACAATTCGCACTTTTTTCTCCGTTGCTCATTGTGTTTTGCACAATTCATGCCACACACACAGAGAGAGAGAGAGGCAGAGGGAGACCGATTGAGAGATAAAGAGAGAGAGAGAGAGAGAGAAAAAAAAAGTGTAATACATATAACGCGTTATTAACGAATCTCAATTGTGTACTTTTTTCGCTTACATTATAGAATAAATATCCGACCAAAAAATTTATTCAGTTTCGAATGTGAAGTGAAACAGTGCACACATTCATTCAATGTGAGATCCATGTGAAAAAAAAACGTTTTGTTTCAATTCATTTCGTTAATCTGACGTCACGAAGCGTGACTTTCATACAAAAATCAACGTTTCCATCAACCAACGAGTCAGTCATAAACGTACGAATCAACAATAAACACTATCATTTGTCGTCAAAAGTACAGGGAAACTGAACGTGAACACTTGAAATATGAAATTTTCGAATGTGTAAGTTGACAAAAATGCTCTTGAAGTGAATTGATTTTGTGACCGGTTCATAGTGAATTCAATGATCTTGAATGATATTGTATTTCCTGGAATTACATTTAAAATGAAAAAAAAAAACGTTACAACAATATTTGCGAACAAGTTTGATGCATTTTTTGGCCTCGTGATGCTGCAAATGTGTCAATATTTTGCTTGGCGATATTTTAAGTGATTTTGGCAGTCTGTACGGAGTTTTTTCGCTGTAAAAGACATTAATCAGTTTAATGATATTTTTCCGTGTTTTTTTTTCATTTAAGATCGGAACAATGAAGGAAGTCGTGTGCAAAAATTATGACTTTTTTCCTATCGGTGTTTGTTTATTAAATGATTTGTGCCATTGTTCTGTTCTATTCAATTCATTATTTTGATTTATCAAAATTATTCATTCTTATTTAATGATTTTATTCATTCTCACCGTATCAAATGGATGAATTCGACGAACTTCTTGACGATTACCATCGATATATATATATGCATTTTATACCGAAAAATTTTCAGTTTCGAAAGAAAAATCGAATAATATCGCATAGGCTATTGGCGGTGATATTTAATCAAATATTTTCATTTCGACATTTCGAGATCCACAGCTCCATTATCTCAGGCTTTATGAGGTAATCAAAACACAATAAAAGAAATGGACGAAACGATCAAAAAACGAATTTACGATCCACCAAAATGTGTTTAAGTAACAATCCGTTTGGAACAATTTTGGTGCATCGTTTAATTATTTTCTGAATGGCTTCGTCTATTTTTTTATTGTTTTTTTATTTTCCCTCATGAATCTTGAGATAATACCGAAATATTGACAAGAAAATATTTGATTAAATATGACCGTCAATGGCCTATACAGTATACACCACTATTCGGGCGAGATAAATGGGCATATTGCAATTAAAATAAAACGCATGTATAGATAGGACCAATCTGAATGTCCAGGTCAGTTTAATCGTTCCAAATATATTTTATTCGCTATATTCATTGAAGATTGTGAAAATAAATGCATCAATTTCATATGCCTCTTCGAGAAGAAAAAAAAAATTCATTAAAATTGCCCAAAGCAGCGATTAACTCGTATCAATAAAGAATAGCAATGATGGTACCATTAAAATGGAAATCCCGGCAAATGGATTCAATCCAATATCAATTTGGTTCGTCATAATCACAAAGCCATAAATCACGTTCGACACACTTTAAATCGCTTAAATGGAGACAAGTACCAGCCGACAATCAGTGCAATATAACCGAACAGTATCAGTAACCACACCATTAAAAATCCATGCGCATTATATTATTTGCATTGGGCGCCTAGCACGCTTTATGTTTTCACTTAATTATACATTCGCTTTCGTTACACGAGAGATTTTATCACGAGAGATATGTGTAACGATGACCTGTTGCAATTAGTTGCCTACAAAATACTATAAAATGGTCTCGCCTACAACATAGTATTCAGCAATAATGCGACGTGTTACCTAAGATGTTGAATTAATTAAACAGGTTCATGTTAAGTCAAAAAGAATAAAACGAACACGGCAAATCTTATTTCTTTACAATTCTGTTCCGCTTAACGAAAAAAGTGAGATGAGCATTTGTAGACCTCGAAAATGATAATAGCACTTTTATGGCTTCACACTCACGATGATTAAATAGAATGATAATACAGTAAGCTATTCAATAGCTAGTAGCTTCTATTCATTCCTATTGAATGGCGAGCCGCTTGCGTCAGTTTGACAGAAGAATGTGAAATGAATAAGATGCAAACACTTGTGATAAGCGCTTCTGTGTGTTGGCTTTAAGTAGCAATATGAAGTACGCTGTTGATGTCACATTCGCGTTGGTCTCTACTCCACTCTTTGAGTCATGAGATAATAAGTTTGTGAATTACATTGTTGGTGAGTTTGTGAATTTTAGCGTAAATCAGAACACAATTCTTGATATTTTCATTGAATCAGTATATTTATAGCTGTACAATTCAATAGCTAACTAAAGCCGTACTATCACGACTAGATACCGAATTTGAACCATTGAATGAAGGGTTTTTTTCGGCAGAACGTCATGCGGTCTGGACGTCATCGTGTCTCAGACACAATGTCCTTTTTTTATGCGCATTCGTGTCTGATTTCTTCAGACACGGCGACGTGAAAGTTTCAGACACAACGTCGTTTTTTTTATGCGCGAAATGCGTTGCCGTGTCTCAGACACCACAACGCGAATGCAGTCCCACAGCGAACCACCTCAAAATTGGAAAATTACAACAGAGTTTTAGGTGAAAATTTTGTAAATAAGGCTCATTTTTTCAATTTTGTGCATGATATTCGATCGGAAGAACTGTGAGATGTCACAGTTTTTCGAGATCATCTGGATATAGCTCGTCGATATGAACCAAAGTCAATGGTTCTTCACTGCATATGGTAATCATTCATAACCAAGGTATACCTTCATAAAAAAGTGAGAAAATATATTTCCTTTCTGTCATTTTCATTTAATTATTTCTTTCATTTATTTACTTTTGAAATTCCAAGCTAAAATCAGCCTTCATAAAAGGATTACAAAATTTATTTCTCTCATTTCCATTTACATTTAACTATTTCATTCACATATTTACTTTTAAAATTCCAAACTAAAATCAGCATTCATAAAAGGATTACAAAAAAGTTCGGGGATTCAGCGTAATGAGTCACTTATCCCCTTTTATTCTGAATTAGTGCCTGAGACCAAATGACGCAAAAACGTCAGACCAGGTAACGGTAAAAAACCGTCGTAGTGTCTCAGACCCCTTGTCGTCTGATAACACAATATTTTGTCAGACCCCTTGTCGCATTATTTTACGACATCGTGTCTCAGACCGTATGACATCCAGACCGCATGACATGTTGCCGTTTTTTTTCGCATGAGCTAAGCCTGAGTTCTGAAATTGACCTTAACCGACACCAATGAAGTGATTCCAATTGTTTAATTCAATCTATTTAATTCAATTTATAATCCAATTTACAGCTCAAACCTAGGAGCGAGACATAAATTTTAGTAGAGTCTAGTTACATTCAATTTTATATATTTTTGACATAAAACCTCTAATTTTTATAGTTTTGGTGCAAAAGTGCTAATATTATGCTATCATTTCTAGTAAAATCGGTTACAGAACGTATTACACTGTCAATAGAACGCTTATGGAAGACCTATCGGGACTATTTTGTAAACAATACGTCCATAAGCGTTTACATTGGCAAAGGATCTCGGAAATTTGTGCTTAGAACGTCAAAGCAATTGACATTTCAATGCTTTTAAGTCAGTAGAACGTCAATGCTGCTAATGACATTGACGTTTTAGGCAAAAGCAACATAAACGATTTCCGAGATCCTTTTCTAATTCCTTCTATTTTTCCTATTATCGTTGAATAATGTTCTAATTTTACTCATTTAAGTTTCGTGTCCCCCCCTAGGCTCAGGAAATTCTCAATAGAAATTTGTTTGAGTGATTAAATTCTTGATTGATTAAATTGTGTCCCATTTATTTAGATTCTCTGGTATACTGGAGAGAAAAAAGTCAACAAAGAGTTTTGATGTAAATGTAAAGCCATGTGAGCCCACATCCAATGAAATTAGTTCATTCAGACGATATTTGCCGCAGGTAAGATTTCAAATCAATGTCAATACTTGAATACATGTCTGTTATTGAATCAGTTGTATTGTTCCCACACTTGTTTCGAAAATTTCATTGAAAAAGGTGTTGGCCAGCTCGGCAAAGAATATGTTAATTGTGGATTTTGGTTTATCGATTGCATTTTCTACAATTTTAATTCCTGCATTGTCTGGGCTGAATCCAGCCCTCAATCCAAATGAAACACTTACCATTACACCAGATGAAGCAACATGGCTTGGTAATTGATTTATAATTTAAAAAAAAATCATAATAAAAGACGGCTAACCATTGGAACATTTTCAGCGAGCATAACGGTAATTTGTCAACCGATAGGAGGATTTACTTCGGGATTTTTAACTGGTAATGTGATTAGTATTTTGTTTCATAATGAGCGATAATCTAAAATAGAAAACCAAGTAATTCAACTTAAAATTTGCATAAAACAGAGCCACTTGGAAGAAAGTATGCCTTGATAATGGTCAATATTCCATACGTGATTGCCTGGATAATGCTATACTATGCAAATTCATTGACGATGATTTACATTTCGTTCGTATTGCTTGGCATTGGCCTTGGATTAATGGAAGCGCCAATTTTTACATATATAGGCGAGATCTGGTAAGGGTTCGTCTAATGAGTATTTTGATTAAATTGCTTTTAACTATATAGGTTTATTGCTTTAAGCCAGTATATTTGACTCGATAAATTACATAGCAGATTTCAATTGAATGTCATTGACAACGACTCAAGTAGTATAACAATGCCGGTTCTGGCACATAGGAATCGGCATTTTTATACTACTGACTCATTGATTAATTTATCTTTTTAATTTTTATTCTGGCTTTGTTTCTAACTTTGTCTTTGTGTCAATTTATTTGCAAAGTGAGCCGAGCATCCGAGGTATTTTAACAGCTACAGCAAGCATAGCGGCAGCGTTCGGGATGGGTATGGTCTACTTTTTGGGGACTCAAACATCTTGGCGGAATGCAGCATTGATTTGTGCCATGATACCAATTCTGTCCATCATTTTCATCTCGTTTGTACGTAATATTTTCCTATTTTTGTTCATATTTTCTTTTGGATCGACATTTATGTCGCTTTGAGTGATTTTTTTGAGCTTTATGTATGTTCTATTAAAATATTGTTCTAATCAACATTCCATCTATATGCGTATCTCAGATGCCCGAAACGCCGTTGTGGTTACTTTCGAGAAACCGTCAAGAAGATGCATTGAAGTCATTACAATGGCTTCGCGGTTGGGTCGACTCAAAAACCGTTCGAAATGAGTTCAATGACTTGCAACGATGCCGAATCAGTGCCCAAATATGCTATCAATGTGAAAAACAAAATAAAATATGCAAACATCCTCCGCCGACCATACGAGACAAAGTCCGAGATCTTTTTCGCCGACGAACTCTGCGTCCATTCATTTTACTTGCGAGTTTGTTCTTTTTTGCCGCTTTTTGCGGCATCTCACCGTATCGCCCGTACATCGTTCAAATTCTATACTTCTACAAATCACCAATCGATCCAAATCAAGGTAAGAAGAAAATGGGTCGCTTACAAAAGAAAGAAATAACAAATTGAAACAACAGAACTTTTATTTAATCTGCAAATCTCCCTTTTTCCAAATCAAGTGGTTGTCTGGCTTGGATACATTGGATTCGCTGCAAATATTATGCTAGTTATAACTATCCGGTCGTTTGGAAAACGCTCAATTTATTTGTGTTCAATGGCTTTTATTATTCTAATTCTATTTGGACTAGGTACGTACTTTATCGTAGGTTTAACAAGAAAGAGAAAAGGATGAATTAAAAAGAAAAAAAACCTAACAAATCAATATTCATTATTTTAGGAATTTACGGCTTCGTTTACCTCCCGTTAGAATCAACATCGTTTGACATCAATTTGAACTCAACTCATGTGGATGAAAATGCACCAGCCATTCAATACTTTCCCATCGTAGCATTCCAAATGCTCCAGTGTCTGGGCAATTTCGGTGTTTCATCTATTCCGAACATGATGCTTTCTGAAGTCTTTCCATTCAAGTAAGTTCAGCTGATCTAAGCTTATTGCTGATATTTTGATTCACCTTTTCTAAACACTAAAATGTTAACTACTTGGTACTAAAACAGGTCGAAGGCCTTTGCAACTGGTATTGTTGGCGCGTTATTCTATTTGTCAATGTTTTTGGCATCAAAATCATTTTATGCATTGGAAGTTCTGCTGACACTTCCTGGGCTGAGCATTTTTTATGGCTTCTTAGGTGTTGTTGGGTAAGCTTCGATAAAAATGGATAAATTACAATCGGCTGTAAACTGTGCAATGCACACGTGTGCATGAATCATCACGAAATGTTCATTTATCTTCCATATTTCTATGGAAAAAATTTAGATTCATTGCAATGTACCTGACGTTACCAGAAACCGAAGGACGAACTCTGGAAGACATTGAGAGCTACTTTTCGGACCGAAAACGTAAACTCAATGACATCAACATTCCTCACAAAAATGAAATATCATAACATGTTAGAATTACTTTATTCAATAAAGTGAACAATTTTTGAGATTGAATTGATAGAGTTCGTGATTTTTTTGAACCTTCAAATTATAAAACTACTGAAGAAACCCTAGAAATTCCCATAGTTTCTGGAACCAATGAATTCCAATTTGGCCGCTTCTCTTCATTTTCATTCTTCGTTCTTGATTTTATCCCATTTTTTCTGCGTTATTATTTGAGGCCCAGTGCTGTCCGAACTTTTTTCAGTGTCGCCACAGAAGTGGCCATGACAACAACAGGAAACTATACACACTTTTTCTTGACCAACAACAAGATATTTGACAAAGAGGGCGATTTCTTCTGGACATTTCTATGTACAGCTGTTGGCGCCCTCTTTGCTAGATTTTAAGAACTAATGAGAGTTTCCTATCATTGAGCCATGAGATCGAGTCAATGGCCGGTGGCCACTTGTTTATTACGAAGTTCAGATTCCGAAATGTTGTTGAGAATCTATATCTTGAGTTAGTGCATTACAGCTGAATTAGGTAGCAAACATCTCCATAATTCCATTAATCAACCCAATTTCTTCATTTGTCAACTCAAAGTGAAATATCAAATTCAAAGTGAGTTTGTTTTGTACCGAGAAAACGAAATGCAATCAAGCGACTTCCTATTCTGATTGTTAACATTGATAAAATCATTCATATTTTTTTACAACAGAATGAGAAGTCACCGAATTGTGTTTTAATTTTCAAAGAAATATTGATTAAATATTTTTGCAATTGAATCAATTTCAATGATAAAGTCCAGAGCCTATTGTTGAAGAAATTCTATTGTTGATATGAGATGGTAATTTACATAGGTTCTGACGTTGGGGATTTAAGGAGGGAGCAATTTTGGAAAAAGATAAAAATTTTGATGGGTAATTTCAAAAATTGGGTGCCCTGATTTTAAACATTGAATGGGTAAATGTTAATTTGAGTCTCAAGGGGATAGTAAAAGGTAACCTAGATGCCCTAGTCAGATGACCAATGATGGTACTCTAATGAAACTGTATGTAAAATTGAATGGTTTGGAGCGAAAACGTAATACAGAAAAGTTGAGCGGAAAAATGTCAAATGAAAAGGGGTAGCTATATAGTTCACTATAGTTTACTATACAGTTTACTATATAGCTATCCCTTTTTCCGCTCAACTTTTCTGTATTACATTTTCGCTCCAAACCATTCAATTCTTACTTGACATTTGGAAATTTAACGCCACCGCATTCAGTTTTTGTGAAATTTGCAAGACACTCTAGCTCACAATTGTGCTGAGTATATACTTTGAAGAAACGTAACTGTCGCTCTGAACCGAAGAAACACTGTCGTTGATATGGCTGATAACTTCGTAGATCATCTGAAGTGGTCATCATTTGTGGCTTGATTTCTATCAACATTTCTTTTGAAATCTTGAAGTGGTTCACGGCACAAAGGTTGCATATCCGATGGGTTGAAATTAATTTGAACGTATAATCCAGCTGTTTCTTCAGCATCAAGTACTCGATACGGGTATATGCCGATGGGGTTTTCGTCGCTATTGTTGTAACCATTTTCCATGTCCCAATGCGCTACATTTGGGTTCTGAACTAAGTTCATCATTCCCGAAGTCATCCTGAGAAAATGTATTCAATATGAATGAATTCCTTTTTAAAACATCGAACTACTGCGGCCAGCCAATGTGAAATGCATACTCATCTGTGTGAATGTCCCGGCGATAGGGCCAACACCTTCCTCAGTTAAAATTGGATACCATACATCATTATATACTTCGTACGATCCATATGGCCAGTTTACACCGAGTACAGTATCATCCCAAGCGCGACTCCACACTTAGCTTCTAAATGTGACACCGTAGTAAGTGTGGGCATACGTTTTGCGAATAAGCGACAAAGAGAATGGAAACAAGTGCGCGTGTATTAGTCGCTACATTGAGAAGCATCGCATCAGGCTACTCACTACCACACGCGCACTTGTTTCCATTCTCTTTGTCGGTTATTCGCAAAACGTATGCCCACACTTACTACGGTGTCACATTTAGAAGCTAAGTGTGGAGTTGCGCTTGGGATTGAGCACTGGACCGGTGTTCAATATTTGTTGAAAAATCGAGTTGTCCAAGAAATTTTGCCCCAAATCAATGTGTTTGATCGAATGTTCGTCACACAGATGCATCACACTCTCCATGTACTTCATTCTACAGTTTATTCAGACACAAATCGTTTCGAATTTATTTAAAAACTTTTTTTTGTCATTGTTCTAGATTGCCTACGTTTCAACCGACATCTTGTCTTTTTGTCCCATTCTGATCATTTGAAAAGCCTCTGTAAAATTCAATTGCCTGTCCAATCTGCTGCTACTGAATTTCGATTCTGGACAAATTGTAACCGCTGGAAATGGAATCGACCAAATCGGAGTCATTCTCTCTGTAAAACTCACAACCACTGGCCTCTCATCCCATGTAATCCATGCGTTCCGAGTCAAAAGCCCGCATATAAACAGCACCATGGCAAAAGCAATAATCCACCAAGCCCTAGTTTGGACGAAACGTTTATTATCGTATTAAACGTATATTATCTCATTTTCATCTAAACTTCAAGTTCGCAAACCCTTCTGTCCAATAGCGACCTCGTTCTGAGAAGTAATGCAAACCAGCAGAAATGGTTTTTCCTGTGAAAAAGTCCGAAATTATCGCCCAAGTAACCTGAAAATGCATTTCAAATTCAGTGATATAATATGTGAAAAATCAATATTTTCTGGTACCTCAGTTCGATTTCCATATTTTATCGTATCCCAAAAGTCTTTTTTATACTTTTTACCAGAACCAGTTGATCTAACACACGCATCATTGGAATCATCAGCTAAATCGATCGATTCATTATTTTTCGTTGAGCATCCTGGTATTAGTTCCATTATTTTGTAACTAAACCTAAGATCTATTTCTTTAACACGAGTAATTAATTATTATGAATAAACGTTCCATTTTACACTTCGTTTTAAGTTGGTGGATATGGTATTTGAAATTTATGTAAACTTACAGTAAATAGGTATGACTGCTTTACCTTTGTTCTGTGAATCTGTAAAAATCACGATCCAAATCAAACTTTGCCGACCCGAAATGAGGAACACCCAACTGAAAATGAATAAATGGAAGAATAATTCTATAGTATAGAATGGCCATTTTTGCAACATTACCTTATATCATCGCTCCCCGGGCTGAAAAAGTTTCCTTTTGATGTTAAAAAAACAATTAAAAAATTTGAAACCTACCACTATAAACGTCAGCGATCAACATCAACAGAGACACTATAGCACATAGCATTAAACGCACTATTGCTTCACTCTTTGTACACACTTTGACATCACTTATGCTTTGGCGCGCGTCGTACGTTTTTCAAACGTTTATGTTTGATTCAAGTATTTCACCGATTTCACCGAATTTTCTTACTCAATATCAATATATTCATTCTTACTTGGAAGTTTTTTTTTATTGCAATGATGTTTTAAAATATATTTTGTCGAGAAATATTTTTTTTTTCAATTTCCAAAATTAAATGAAATCAAAACACATAACATGAAACGCATTCATAGCGAAATGCATATGTATTAGTTTGTACTTATTCATTATAATGTATTTAGATAGGACGCTAGCGCGGCCTGTTTGAAACCGATCGGACAATATTTGATGGACCCAAAAAATGTAGGTAGTTGGAAAAAGTCAATTTTATTGAAATTTCGTTATTTTTTCGTTTTTTTTTCTTACATAAATCACTACAATACGCTAATATTGATATATAATGGTGAATTTATTGTTTTAATTCAAATTAGCAACGATTTACGACGCTTGAGAACGATCAGTCAACATCGATTTTGTATGAGAAGGATATTTTTTCCGGTATGAGTCGACAACTTGCAATATAAACTGAATTTCTTCTTCGTTGTGTGTTAAAACACGATTATAATCCTTCATAAATTTAACACCACGTTCTGCAGTATCGTTAGTGACCAATAAATTTTGGAAGAAATCTGAAGCAGTTTTATATTCCTCGTTGTCTTTCCATACAGATGGGTCGAGCTCGAAAAAATCAGTTTCAAGCTCGAATTTTGAAAAGAAAATTTTGGTTTTATACGAAACAAAATCTGATAAATCACGTTTTACTAAATCTTGCACACTTGAATACTTGCGGTAGTTGACAAAAGCTACAGCAGGTTTTTTTGCTTTCAAACGACACACCATTTCTCGCTTGGTTTCGATTGAAACATTCGGATCGAAGAATGCCAGCCCCACTGTTTCTGGAGTCAGATACCACAAGTGATTCTTCATTTTTTCAATTACTACGGCAGATATATCTATATCAATTTTGGAATATTCGTTAGCGGCACGCAAAAAATTCAAATCTTGATTGGGAGATTCAATAGAATTCGTACATCCGTACCAGACCTTAATGTAAACTAGGCTCGCCCGTGGTCAAAATTTGACCACACAAACAAAAAAATAACTACTAATATTTTATATAATTAATTATTTATACTCTCACAATTACCGAAGTAATTTTTTCATTGGAGGTAAAATGTTGAATTACCATCAATGAATTTTTTTGATGGCGAGAATGCGAGAATGTGATTAATTTCAACTGACGCTGTTGTACCCTTTGAATGTGGCAATTCCTTGCACACACTTCGTTTGGTTGCGTTCATTGTGTGTGATCACTTTGGTGTGCGTAAACACGATTGTGCATGAAACATTCAGTGTGATGACAACCGATTGTCAAAAAATGAAAACAACATCAGAAATCTTTGCAAATCGTATCGTGTAATAGCCGAAGAAGGCTAAATAACAAATTCAAAAAGCCTTTTTTTCGTGTTGCAAAGATGATTCGAGATGATTGTTGTTAACAATTCAATGTTTTGTGCCATTTGGAATTTAGATTCAATTCACTGTTCACTGCTGCAACACATTTGATGAAAATTTGATAAAAACAATCAAAAAGATTTATTTCTCACTAATTATACGTGCTTGGTGTGTTTTCTCACTCTTCA